GGATCGAAAATACAAAACTAAAACAAATAATAAAACAAAATCGAACTACTAATATTGCTTCACAGTCTCCAGTTTCTCCGGTCTTATCAGTAACTCCACAAATGCCTACTCTATCAATGAATAGTCACGATAGCACTGACTATGTAAATCTAGAGCAGACGCAAAGTGCTATTATTGCAAATGCAATGGAGCTACACTCCTCTCCCGAAGTTAATTCTAATAATATCTCTGTCTCTGAACGGATAGTCTCACGTAATGAGGAATCTAACACATCTAATTCTGATATACACCAGGAATCGGAGACCTCCACATCTCCTATCCACATAGAAACTATATCATCGGAAGAGAAAGAAATCAATGAATTTCTGGAATCACAAGATAAGAAAAGAGTTAGTAATTTGATGAGAGAGAGGAACCGGGAAAAAAAGCTTCAAGCTCAAGATGCATCTTTTGGGGATCAAGACATTTCTGGACAGAAAAATAACCAATCAAAATCTCAGAATGCATCTTCTGGCTTGCTCCAAATTTCCATCTCACAGAGTAAAGATGACCTTGCGTCCGAATTGGATCAATCAGAGATAAAGTCTCCTTGTCCTGACCCTCAATCGTCTACTAATCAAGTACAGGCACAAAGTGGAATTTCTCCTGAACTAAGTATCACCCCCCCTAAAATAGCGGAAGCTAGTACATTGGTGCTAAAAATTCCCTATAATCAGAAAGTAGAACGGGGATTAAGACGTGAAATATCTGTTTGTGACCAAGACAATAGTAATGAAATTAATACACCTTGTGCACAGATCGGACAAAGTTCGTGTATTCCGAACATTGCATCTGATAATACATTTGACGTACAAATTCCTGAATTTTTTTTAGAGACGATTTTAACAGGATCTGATAAAGTTACGGCTCAAAATATAGTTGACCTATTTAATATAGCGATGAAAATTAGACAAAAAGAGATTTTATACTGGCATTGTTACTATAAAGCATATGAGGATAGAATTAGGAATATCAGGTCTATAAATAAAATTAATGACAAATCTGCGAGGATGTTGGTATATAATGAAATTAAATCACTTCTGCCTGATATTACTGATGTCAATTTACGTAAAATAACTTTCAGAGCTAAAAAAATCTATATATTAGTCGAAGGAATAGGGATGGATAGAATCAGACAAGTAACTTATAGTGCAAGTGCTATTTCAAGTTTAAAAGATATCCAAATTCAAAATATTATAAATGATTTCCCCAAAAAGTCAACTGATACAAATACGATTTGCGTTCCAAATTGGAACGGAAATGTGATCGAACCTAGCTCAGATAATATCACAAATCATAACGATCAGACTAATACAGAGGTAAGTATGCCTTCCACATCTCGACCTGAAAAGGTTATATTGGAAACTGTAGGAAGTGTATTAGCGAAAAATATATCTCCAGAAACTAAGATCCCATTCACGCCTCAGATAAGTATACAAACTCATGACCGTGCTTATTTTCGTAACAAGTTATTGGAGCAGTATCCCAATTTATATAAAGAATATAGTGATGGAAATGATGATTATTATGGTATTAATGCTGAATC